ATAGGGTATTCAGCAGAAAAAGCTTTGAAGATGTCTTTTCCTATTGCATTTCACTTGTTACATGAGTTCCAAAATAAATGGCATTTGTCTTCATACGCCAATGTGACGGCTGCTACATCTGGAGCAAATTATGCTTACCCTTCCTAAGCAGCTAATGTTTTATGCATATTCAACGCTCTAGTTACGAGGGTTGTCTGTTCTTGTGTACTTGGGTGCTGTCGTTTTCTTTCGGTTTATGTCGGACTTGGGTGATTTTTAAAATTCGTAATTCTTTAAGAAGTCCAATCTCCTTCGTCGTGAAGTTAAGTAAGTCTCATATCTTTCATCCTTATTATAACTTTATCTTATAAGAATAAGCTAGGAGATGAGGTATGATTGCCAATGAGACAACCATCCACCAAAGTTTAAATAAAGTGGATGTAAGCTTAGTCTTCTATGTTTACAAGTTAACGATGATTTGTTTTCTGTTTTTCTCCACTCTAAAATGAACAGCCTCGAATTCAGCTTTTAGCGAGTATTTATTCTTGAGAGACATGTTGGAAAATAAAGCGAGTAGCATCAATGAATGTATGGCATCGTGGTAGCGACGTTGGTGGTTCTTACTTTGTATTTCCAGATCACCGGAAGTGCCTCGTATTGTCATTTATAATTGTAACGTTTAACGATTATTAACCAGCTAACACTTCAACAGTGATGACTTTGGAATGATTGTCTGGAAAAAAGACTTACCCTGTTAATATTTGGCAACCGATTATTTAGGGTGAAAAAATGAGAAAGGTTGATATTTTCATATCATTATTTTCTGACAAATTCTGGGCAGCAACATACGGGAACGATTGGGATGAATAACTACATGATTACAAAATCAGATTTTATTAATCAAGCATCATTGAAGATAGTTGAGTGACAGCTACATAAAGAACCTTGAAGAGCGAGATTCTCGTAGCTAGGTTCTCGCGAGATTCTTTGGAAGCCATCTGCCTATCCTTGTTATTTACACTAGTGCACTGTTCCTTAGACAATTTAAACAATCTTGTATAAATATTTGATTCTTTTTACTTTACGTTTGTGATATGGGAGACATTTAATATCTGTAATGAAAAGTTTAAACAAAATTTTGCATGACTTCATCTATTAAGTTGTTTATTCGCCACCAAATGGAGTACAAAATAAATATTTAATTGGTATGAAACCGAAAGTTTTTAAATCTCATGTTGACAATTTATAAATCAATTATGTTTTTGAAAATTAAAACAAACATTGATGTCTCTTTAATCCTCTAGTTGTCCTCTTCTACGACAATTTTTGAACATCGATCACCTTCTTACTTGAAATTTTAATGAAAACTGAAAAATCGACTACTTAATAACCTGTACAGTCTTTAGTTTGAATTGAACGTCAAATGTTTTTGTCAAAACTAACAATCCATCGGACACCTCCACCTGTTTTGAAAAATGCCACCTACGGAACCCTCAAAGTGTTACTGTAAGGGTTTTTCACGTGTAGATAATGTGACTCTCCCTACACAAGGCATCGGATTTAACGTCCCCATTCCAACCGGACGTGGCTGCGTATTTATACATCCCACTGAGTCAAACGGACGCCCCTTTTCAGAATGATTTTGACTGTAAGATGAGAGATGTCTATGGACGACCATTTTCTATGCACAAGTCAACCCTTGGGGATGACCCCAAACAAATGAACTTAAAACGTTTTGATCGCATAGGAAAAGGGGTTGTGACTATTAATTCAATTATGTTTGGCTATTTTTCACGTCTTTGGGTCGAATGAAATTTCACTTAATAAAATTAATCGATCTATTTATTTATATATATTCTGCAATATTACTTCCAACGGATGAATTAATGCAGTATTTGTCCCTGACGAAATAAGTTAAGGGTAAAAATATTTGTACTCACAGGAACAGATATTGCAACATTGGTTATAACAAAATTTCCGGAGGAACTTCGGAGGAGGAAAAAAATATGTTGACATGCTTGGGTTCATAATGATTAAATCCTACTCTCTCTGCGATGTTTGTTTACAAATTTATGTCAGTTTGGTTTTTTTTCTATCTCAACCATAATCGTTTCCATGGTGTTCTTCTAGAATATTCATGGTTTTTTTTCTATTCAAGACAAATGAGAAGATACCAAGAGCAATAACATCATGACATTAAAAGACGAAAAGACACACAAATGTCCACAAAATATTTAACAAAATAAATTGATTTAAGCAACATAAACCCTACTGAAATCTACCATTGTTGAAGCAAGAAATGCTGCTTATCTGCCAGTGAGCTTGATTTACCCCTCTCCCCCGGGCGTACTCATTGCAGTAGGGTTTTTGTTGCTAAAATCTATTTTTTTTTTTTTGTTAAATATTTTGTGGATGTTTGTGGGTCTTTCCGCCGGGATGGGGGTTGGGGGAGGAGGGGAGATCACTGCCAGATTAAGCAGCAGCTTCAACAAGGGTAGATCCATGGGGAATATGTGTCTCGATCCCCCTATGATAGTATACGTTAATGAGGGTTTTTTTCTGATTGTTTACGTCAAAGTTATACTCATTTTTTTCAACAAATCTTTGCCCCCCTTTATGAAAATTCTCGAATCTGCCATTGCCCAATACTCAAGAACGAATGAGAAACTTAGTTGTCACTTAATATGCTTTTCCAGAACTTTAATCATATTTCAAAATTCGCTTAAAGTTTTCTCTATTAGAACAATGGGCATCAAATCCTCACATACTTTCATCACTCCGTCATACTTATCTTTTAGGATTGAAATATCATATTTCAATTTAGAAATTCAATCCTCGTGTCTAAAGTATTAATACAAAGTTTTAAATCAACTTGATAACAATCTTGCAATAAATAAAAGTTAACAATTTCAGTAAAGAATGTCTTTTGATAAATTATGTTTAATATATTCTTTCAAATTTTCGTAAGAATAAAATCAGCTCATCTCTTCTATGTCAACATTTATCAAGATTAACGATTCTCAGTTGATCAACGTGTTTCAACTGATCCTAGACCATGATTCACTGTTCAACTTGTGATCCTAGACCATGATTCACTGCTCAACTTGCGGGTATCCATCTACATGTTGATCATTCATCCATTCCTTTGATTATAAAAAAAATGGCATTTCATTCTCTTACTAGTAATTGGTAAGTCTGTTCGGCTTAGGAACTGTGGGTATACATTTAATGTGACAGCAACCCAACGAAAAAAATAAAACCCAAGACATCTAGAGGTCAACATACGGCCTACAGCTATTTATATAACCGATGTCTATACAAAGTCAAGCTCTATTATCTACCAAGAGTCTAAAAAGTTGTGAATAAATTTAACCGAGACACTATATATATGAAAAGCAACGACATCACAAAATCCACAAATTGACAAAACACATTAACATACAACTATTTAAACGTTGGTCCTGACTTGGACACATGAACATGTCGAGGGATTAAACTTTGTTTGAGATATCAACCCACCGACTGCAAATACCAACAGATAATAAATGTACATATAAGAGCATACCACAACAATCAGTACAAGAAAGTACTTATGTCTTTAAGTGAATGTTATGAATAAATTGCAGGCGCCATGCAGTAACCATTCTTCATATTTAATTTTGGAAAGAAGTAAATTTGAGCAAATGTAAATATTTGCCACTGGACGTTAAGCAAACAACAATCGATCAATACGTAAGACTTAAACAGTGGTGAAGAATCTATAACGAAGACTTTCGACAGAACGAAGAAATCCTGCAATCCTACAAGAGTTGGGTCTATACTGATTTCAAATTAGTATAGAATTTGACATTTGGGCTTTTCACATGCGCTTAGGGCATGGAACCCCAATTTTTGTGTTTTTTGTATTTGCTCAGATGCTTAAATTTGTTTTTAGTAAATTTTCTTCATTATTTCAACTTATTTTCACTAAATTAATGTGTTCGTGAAATTGGCTAAACGATATCTTAGAATATCAACAGTTTATACTTGCTGTCCCTTTATTCTATACATGCTACCCCTCTATTCTTATTCAGGAGGGTCGGTGCGTATTAACTACTGCTATTATAAAACCGTATGAATAAGAGCAAGTAAATATTCAATAAGTTTAAATATTAAAGAATACAAAGAAAAAAGGGTCATTGTCCCAAGTGCTTTTGTTTTTTCCCCTACTGTACCAGGAAAAACAACTATCCAGTTACAATTCAAATTGGAAATGTTGTTATATTCTATGAAATTATTACAAATCTGCTTCACAGATATAAAAGAAACCCTAGACTTTCTCCAAGTGGCGCTTTCGCAGGATTTACCGATAAACATCTATTTTGTTGCTAGATTCACAAATGACATTTGATTTACAGTAAGGCAATGTGTTTTTCATTGGTTTTTTGTCAGGTTAAAATTTTCAAAACATATTGAATAGGATGAAAAACACATAAAATTAAAACACACCCATATGAAACCAAAAATACAATTCCACGCCATTCTCTACACAAGAATCATCTTTGTTAAATAAGTTTGTCTAGCAAAAGACCAATCAATATTTAACGTTATACTTTAAACAAAATAGTATTTTTTAGATTTTTTTCTGCGATTGTTTTGTTTTGTTTTTTGTTTGTTTGTTATCATTTCAGACCAACAAGAGGGCGCAAACAAATAAAAAGCTGACACAATTTTGGTCTTATGTTAAAAAAAAGAAACTTTCTTTCAGTGATCGTTGTGGATAGTAAACTTGGAATTGATAGTAAATAGCAAATACAAGTTATCTCTAGTACATTTATGTTCTTATTATACAGAAAAACGCGAAAATAATTGAAATTAATAGAAAAATAATAAAAAAATACGGATTTTGGAAAAAGGGGGAGGGCAAAAAAATTGTCCTGTCCACAAGTATCTATGTTTAAGTCATAAGGCTGATGCTTTTCCTTGGTTGAGTTATAATTGTAATAAAAGGAGGAAATAATAAAATAAAAATATGAGACTAATTCAACAAAATAATTACACCAACTGTTTTATATAAATTAGAACAGATGAAATGAACATGAAATTACATTCAGTAAAGCTCAGACGTTCTCGGAATATCTCTTTCTGTGCCTTGACTATATTTACTAATACTCAGCCGTACTCGGAATGTCTTTTCCCGATCCCTGACTGCATGATGCATTAATAAATCCTATCGATTCTTCCACAAGGCATGTTTTCATAATATCAAAACTTTTGTTGCAATTCGAGTTCCGTATAATGTCGCTATGAATTATAAGATTTTTGTGAAAATTTGTTTGTTCTATATTTCCTTTAGTTCTGCATTCGTCTAGAAGTTCTCGGGTACTATTATGTCCTGGATTTGTGTCATGGTTAAAACGACTGTTCAAGCCTACTTTAGCAATGTCTTTAGGCTTTTTATTGTCAGTAACACGTAATCTTGATGGCGCTTTGTTATTTGAACAACACTGAAGTACTAATTTAAACAGTTTCGAATACCTTTGCTTTATTTTCCCAATGTGCTGTGCATAAATATACGGATCCAAAGCACTATTAAGAAAGACTAGAGCTATTCCACATAATTTAACTTGATATAAAGTAATTGACTCTCCCGTGGCTAGTTCCACAAAGTGTGAAATAATAAGCGGTCCCCAGCAAAGTCCCATCAAAAGAATTACCACGAGGCACATTGTCAACGCCTTATTATCCCGATAGGGGAAAGTAGAATTAGAACATGTATGACACTTTCTACTTGGACAGTTTTGCCTAATTAAATTTTGACATTGTTTACAAGGCGGTGTACCTACTGTCCTGCTAAGTTTATCGGTTTGTCTATGGACCATTATTGTAATAATTATATACGATAAAGTCACGATCGCAAAACTGACAATTGTCACAGGCGCAACAAAGAACAATACGAAATTTTGTAGTTGTGGATTACTGCTATTTATTATAGCTTGGCATGTTTTCTGTTTCGGATTCCAGTTGTGTGTTACGTGAAGTGTTCCTCCGACACTCAAAGTGAAACTAAATATCCAAATCATGGTGAGAATTACTGCGGTCCTTGTGATACTTAACGTGCCACTAGCCTGTCCCACAACACGGGCTAATCTATGAAGAGCTATTGCAACTAAGGTAAACAATGAAAGCATTCCACTTGCAGCTCCCAAAAATAACACACTCCCACAAAACATTTTAGGAACAGGTGGCTCCGAATACAGTAAAAACAAATATGTCGGTGCTAAAAATGTACATGTTATAAAATCTGCACCAGTTAAATTGAGAACTAAAACGTCAAAATTCGTTCGTATGCGTTTCTTTTTCACTGCAGCATATATCACCACAGAATTACCGATACATCCCATTAGTAAAACAAAAATAATAAGCACTGTGCAGACGGCTAGTGAGGCCGTGTGTACCGTTCCAACAAACGCGGACGTCGTGGATGACACCTCTTGTGAACAGTTTCTTCTTTGTGTCATCATGTGTAGAACTGTCACTGTATTATATATTTTACTTGACCCGGACAACATATCTTTAGAGCCGTACAAATATGGCATCGAATTTAATACATGGTGTAGCAAAAACTCCCTTGTAGCAATTAATTTAATCAGGTTTAAAGTTACAAACTTTCGGTCAATGAATATTTCTTCCCATCGGCTATATTAAAGTATGGAATTATTTATATATTTAACAATCCCAACTTAAAACATTAAAGTGTTTACGACATATCATAATATGTGCAGATTTAGTCAGATAAGAAACAATAAGATATTAGCTTTGTACTACTCGAGTTAAAGTGGGACGAGTTTCCACGCGATTACACCAATACTGTAGACGCTTTAAATGAAAAATGTTTCGTTTTTTCCATGTCACTACACATTATCCCTCACTATATAACTGTAACCTCAGAAAAATCCTACACAAAACAGCAGTATTAAACATTTATCACTCAGATTTATTGCATTTTTACAACAAATTCACATCTCTCTGCAGAGTATAAACAACTAATGTCTGTTGATCTACTATTTGATGGCAGATGTATTTTCACTTTAGTCTGAAGTTAAATTATCACTTTCGTTCTATAAGATTTCCCTTGCTGTCTGTGAAGATAAAAAATGAGTTTGACGGTCTTATCTCTGCTCTATCTCCGTCTTAAAGATTTGGCAAATATGTTTCATTATCACTCGTGTAGGTAATGTAACTGTTCCTAATTGCTCCCTTTCCTCGATTTGTCGAAATGTAACATCAGTTTTACCATAAAGCATATAATCCACACAGATTCTGTCAATAAATTAAAAAAGATGGTTAAAACATTCGTATAGTTAAACACTTAAGCTGCACTGATTCTTCCGAACTGAAAAACGGAATGTCTTTTTGCTTAAAGAACTTCAAAGGTAAAAAGGTGAATATTATATCCGCACAATTTACTACATTTTTAATGAACGTCGCTCAGATGAATAATGAATACCATGTGTATGAATAGATTTATAGCGTGATTTGACGGGTAGATCTGACAACCGGTTATTATATTCACTATACCAATGGAAACTTGATCCGGCGACCGACTCCTTACCGAACTGTAAAGTGACAGGGCCTAAGCAGATTGATTATGCTGTATATTTGTCACCGTAGACGACAAAGACTTAAAATTTTGACGAGGACACACAATGGAAAACTGTAAGAAATCCACTGTATTAACTTTTCTCCTTCTTTGTTGTGTTAAATACAGTTTTTATGGATGACGTGTTTCATAAGGCCTCCCGTAATGAGAGTGTATAAACCATCCATTGAAAACTTGATCTCTTTACAAAACATTTAAAAGCCATCCTCACAAAGTGTTTCTTCATTTTCCTTCATCCTGTATGTATCAGCTCATATCTAATTCAGAAAAGAAATTAAAAAAAAAGGAAAGATTGTTCAGATTTCAGATATGATGAAAAATTCATAGCATTTAATAAGGGACCATGATAAACAGATTTGACTTTAAACAAGATACTTTATAATCTCAAAAATCTCGTATCAAAATAATTAGAAAGGAGATAATAAAATGAACAAAATATTGGAATAAATTGTATCCATCTTGATAAAAAATAGTTTTCATCTGTTCAGTGATATTATCTGCCAAAAGAAAAGTTTTAATTTGAATTGGGTTATTAGAATTCACTTACTATCAATTTAGCAGTAGAATCAAAAGATAAAACTAACTTATTTTTCAAAATGATAAGCAGAATTTCAACTAGAGGTAAAAAAGGTTGAACAAAATATCTGCCAATCAGATTTGGCATACCAGAAGAAAGAAAATGATTTTAAACCTGATCTGAAATAAATTGTTTTTTTTTTTACAATTGCCATTAGGTGATAGATAGAACATCATAACACTTATTAAGAACGAGATTTAAAAAGGGGCAGGGTAGAGATTTCAAAAAACGAATTCAGTAACCCCGTCATATTTCCATGTTCCTGTCCCAAGTCAGGAACCTCGTTAGTAGTTGTCGTATGCCATATTATAATGTTTTTTTTTTTTTATTTATCTATTCGCTATTTGAAGAATTGGGTGTTGGTGGCGGATCTTTGATTGCTTCTGTTCAGTTTATTCACACATTTTTATCGAGCCTGCGACTTTTGTCGCAAAAGCAAGACATAGCGATCCTACACTCCGTCGTCGGCGTCGTCGTCGTCGGCGGCGTCCACAAATATTCACTCTGTGGTTAAAGTTTTTGAAATTTTAATAACTTTCTTAAACTATCCTGGATTTCTACCAAACTTGGACAGAAGCTTGTTTATGATCAAAAGCTAGTATCTAGAAGGAAATTTTGTAAAAATTATTTCCTGTTTTTCCGTATATTACTTATAAATGGACTTAGTTTTTCTTCCAGTTAACATTACATACAGTCTGTAGTTAAAGTTTTTAAAACATTTAATAGATTCATAAACCATTCTGGATTTTTACCAAACTTGGACAGAAGCTTCTTACAATCAAAATATAGTATCTATAAGAAAATTGTTAATGAATTTTTCCCCATTTTTGTTGAGCCTGTGACTAGCAGCAAAAGTAGGCGAGACACTGGGTTCTGCGGAACCCTTACAAATTTTATTGATTAGAGACGATTCAGAGCCTAGTAACATATTGTATATACACTCATCTGTTTTAGAAGACTGTATGCTGGCTTCTAGATTTCATTTTGGTTTTTTATGTTTGTCGTTCGGTTGCTGTCATATCAACGTACACCCTACACCTCCTTTTATTCATAAAGATATAGAATCCAAAATAATTGAATAGAGTGAAAATTGCTGTGATAATAGGAAATTGGTCATTAAGTACAGTAATACATTTGCACCAAATCATTCCAATGTCTCCAAGATTTTTATATTCGCCGGTCGATCAAATATCAATCTGTCTTGGATTTCATTTCACAAAATTTTACTGTGGGTTAACCCGAATTTTCATTGTCAATATCAAATTCCCTATTAACGACAAAGCCCGCTGTGAAATGTTTATTGAATCTTATGATACTGAACTCAATTTATTATCCACCTAGGCTAACACCTGACGTTTAACATCAAAACAATTTCATTTAATTCGCCCTTTTTGTTTTGCTTTACCATACAACTTCTTAAGATAGCGTATTGTTTTACCAAATTAAATAACATCGTAAGGCCGCTTTTGTTTATAAAATGGTTTTTGTCATGTCAAATATTCAAAAACTAAGAACCATCCGGGAAGAAGAAAAAAATAACACACACACACATAAATGCTAACATGCTCACAGTATGGTGCTTATTTTTAATATAAATCATTCTTGTTCCAAGCTTTTTATCAAGAAATCTACACATCACTTTGTATATAATAATTCGTATATAATGTTTTTATTTTGAACTAAAAATGATTTAGCACATAAATATTATATATTACTAAAGCTCGTATGTTAGCTTAAACATTCGGATTCTGTATATATTTAAAAGATTTATTTGAAATATTTTCATTTTCTTTTTGCTTTTTGTCCTCAGACATTAAAATCTAACTTCAAACGGGTGCAAAACAAGGAAAAACGCAACTTTGGCCTAATTATTAGCGTTTATATTTGCATGATATAGAAATGATAAAGAATAAAAATTGTACTTAACCTGGGTTTGTTACAAAAGTTGAAGGAACAAAGGGTTCATGAAACATGTAAAGTATAGCCATTGAATATGTAAATTCCAGACAACATAAAACTTATTTTATAAAATTATAATGTAAAAAGAACAAAGGGTTCATAGTACATACATGTGAAATGTAACCCTTTTATAGAAATCCACTAAAAATGCAATTAAATACCTTTGAAAAAATTACTAAGTTAAGAAAATTACAAACATATTCTGACATTTTTTTTCTTCATAAAAACACATAAAATCGTTTAGCTAATCACAGTTAAAACCTTATTAATTATTGACTTAAATCTATGTTTCTTCTATTTCACACTTTAGGGAATTTTTTCAATTGAATGAGTTTACTCTAAGGATCAAGGCAGCATTGAAAAAAATGAAAACAATGAAAAAAAGACAAGAACACACTCTCCCTTACAATGCTTATCAGAATAAAAAAAGACCAGGTTTCATTTTAAACATATATAAGGCAACAATCCAACGACTCGCAAAAAACAAAAACATATCTGGCGATCAACATACAGGTCTTCAACAGTAGCATTATGTCCAACTCGCCACGAGTGTAGAGAGACTTACAAAGTTCAAAGTTCTGCAATCACTATCAAAAAACTACGAGAAGATAACTAAATACAACCGCGGAAAAAAATCTATAAGAAGATAACTAAATACAACCGCTGAATAAAAAACCTTCAAGAAGATAACTAAATACAACCGCTGAATAACAAAACTACTAGAAGATAACTAAATACAACCGCTGAATAAAAAACCTACAAGAAGATAACTAAATACAACCGCTGAATAAAAAACCTACAAGAAGATAACTAAATACAACCGCTGAATAACAAAACTACAAGAAGATAACTTAATACAACCGCTGAATAAAACACCTACAAGAAGATAACTAAATACAACCGCTGAATAACAAAACTACAAGAAGATAACTAAATACAACCGCTGAATAAAAAACCTACAAAAAGATAACTAAATACAACCGCTGAATAACAAAACTACAAGAAGATAACTTAATACAACCGCTGAATAAAAAACCTACAAGAAGATAACTAAATACAACCGCTGAATAACAAAACTACAAGAAGATAACTAAATACAACCGCTGAATAAAAAACCTACAAAAAGATAACTAAATACAACCGCTGAATAAAAAACCTACAAGAAGATAACTAAATACAACCGCTGAATAAAAAACCTACAAAAAGATAACTAAATGCAACCGTTGAATAACAAAACTACAAGAACATAACTAAATACAACCGCTGAATAAAAAACCTTCAAGAAGATAACTAAATACAATCGCTGAATAACAAAACCTACAAAAAGATAACTAAATACAACCGCTGAATAACAAAACAACAAGAAGATAACTTAATACAACCGTTGAATAAAAAACCTACAAGAAGATAACTAATTACAACCGCTGAATAACAAAACCTACAAGAAGATAACTAAATACAACCGCTGAATAAAAAACCTACAAGAACATAACTAAATACAACCGCTGAATAACAAAACCTACAAGAAGATAACGAAATACAACCGCTGAATAACAAAACTACAAGAAGGTAACTAAATACAACCGCTGAATAAAAACCTACAAGAAAATAACTAAATACAACCGCTGAATAAAAAACCTACAAGAAGATAACTAAAAACAACCGCTGAATAAAAAACCTACAAGAAGATAACTAAATACAACCGCTGAATAAAAAACCTACAAGAAGATAACTAACTACAACCGCTCACGAGATTTATGATTTGAGACATGCACGTGAACATGCAGCGGTGTTTAAACTTTTTCTTAAATTTCGATAATGGAATAGCATAGGTTATAAAAATATATCAACATTTCAAATAGTTTTTTCAGCCAGAGGAGAAACCACACACATCAATGACGCAACCTTACAAGATAGCATTGTCATGCCTGAATAAGTTGCTGTATCTCTTTGTTATTGATTGTCATCACTGGTTCTCGAGGAACCACACACAAAAATGACACACTATATTATACACTTGTTCAATCAAATGAACAAAGGCATATAAAAGATCTTCAGAAGTTAATTACAAATTTCTCTCATCTTGTGTGGTTACTCTACTGATCATAATTACAATGGACATGGACAATAAATATAGTAAATAAGCCTCTTACACTGAAGAATAAAAGAAAAATAAAGAGGTAGGACAAAGGACCTCTGAATGTATTTCAAATAAGAAGTGCCAATTTCAAAACGTAACTCAGCTTCAGATGTTAACTTCGAAGAAGTTACAACATTATGCCATATTTCTGAACATGTGACCCCATGGTACATGCTTTTAAAAGTCAGAAGATACCAAAGGAGAAGTTTAAAAGGCAGAAGATACCAAAGGAGAAGTTTAAAAGGCAGAAGATACCAAAGGGGAAGTTTAAAAGTCAGAAGATACCAAAGGGGAAGTTTAAAAGTCAAAGGTACCAAAGGGGAAGTTTAAAAGGCAGAAGATACCAAAGGGGAAGTTTAAAAGGCAGAAGATACCAAAGGGGAAGTTTAAAAGGCAGAAGATACCAAAGGGGAAGGAAGTAGGCGGGACATTATAAATCTTAATTCGAAGCAAGGTAGACAACATCATGGCTGAATAAAAAAAAAATGAAAAGACAAATCACAATCCACAAAACACTACACTATGACCTAAAGATCGACAACACGAAAAAGATAAACCAGGGATGATCTCAGGTGACCCGGAGGGGTAAGCAGATCCTATTTCACATGTGGCACTCGTCGTGTTGCTCAAGGTAAGTGCAAATTCAGTGATAAGTCGCATCTATAAAACCAGGTTACATAAGGAAATGCCTGTACCAGGTCAGGAATATGACAGTTGTTTTCCATTCGTTTGATGTGTTTGAGCTTTTAATTTTGCCATTTGATAAGGGACTTTCCGTTTTGAATTTTCCTTGGAGTTCGGTATTTTTGTTATTTTACATTTGGCTTTGTCACACACTAGTAGTGTCAATGAGGAATCTTATGCAGCATTTCTGAAAATGTAACCAAATTGTAAATGCTTTTAAGAGGGAGATGATACTCTAAAAGGCAATTAAAACATAAATTGAAGAAAATAAGACAACTACATGATTAAAAGAGAAAGACGATGAAAAACAAAAACAATAGACGATACTGTACACAGAAAAAAAATCAACGAATCGACGATTGACAAAAAACGAATTGCACGAAAAAGGGGTGATCGGAATACATCAGATGGCTCCAAATTTGCAAATTTAAAAAGATTTTAGATATTATTTCTTAACCATAACAATCTTAACCAAAATCAAAATTTTGTCAGAAGTCTAGCTATATACAAACTCCTTCATTTCGGTTATGGGTTTTCTCCGATGATTTTTTTTAAAAAGAGGAAAATTTGAAATCTTGTATTAAAACGATCTCGAGCAGAATAAAATCTTGATTTAACGGAGATGGTTTTTTTTCTAAATTGTTCAGAAATCAGATGTTTTCGAAAGTATATTATGTAGACTTTCATCAGTGGGATAAACTTGGGTGATCTCTTAAAGCAATATGATGAGCTTTCTGTATACAAGCGTTCAACATCTTTAGTAAAGGTGTCTAGCACCTAATGTACACAGATAAGCTAAAACTAAGAACAAATGATTTCTTGGAAAATAGATAAAAACAAACAATAGCCATCTTTCTGAACTTTTGCCCAAGATCAGAGATATTTACTGTGATGAAGAAGCTAAGACAATTCAAGATTCCGAGAAGCAAACTGGCTATTATAGCTATATACAACACACAGATACCTTTTTGGAACAACTTAAAAAAAGTGAAGCATTAATTGAAAATCGCAGTACAATGCAATAACTTTTTATGTGTCATTGACCTGTGTCGCTTTAAAAATTACCCCCCCCCCCCCCTTTTTAACCCTTTATAAATATTTTAACCTAAGCTAACGTAAATGAACAAATACTTTTACAAGATGTTAGTAAAACTGACAACAATGATCACGACCGGTCAGAAATATTAGTAAATAAAGAGTGTAATGCAAGTAACTAGGTGCATGTATTGAAGAGCATTCAATAAAATAGAATTACGGTGTATGAAAAAATTCATACTTTGCTCGGTGCAAAAGGACCACAAACACAGCGTTGAAAATAATGACCGTATGCATGGTGTGCCACCTACGTAAAATGTTACCGGTTATTTTTTAACAGGTAAGAAGTAAACTAAGATAAAACAAAGGAAAACTGTACTTACTAGAAACGAAAACATGACAAAAATTAACTTACCGTCTTAAGTTATCCAAATAAAGTTAAAGACAAAAATTAACTTGTCACTTGTTAGAGAAAATTTTTCACTCTAGTTTTCTGAAGTGAGAGTTCTTCACTCTAGCACCCTGAAGTGTCGTCATCCTGTCTACTTAAAGTGATAAAATATCACAAGCTAAACAATGTTTACACCACTGCTAGATCAATTTACTTTTATGACGACGAAGACACTCCATCAACCTTAGTGTTTATATAAACCCCGTTGTAAAATCTCCACATATCTACTGTACGGCATTCAATCTATACACATTTGTGAGAAGATTTAATTCATAAAATTGTGGTTCTTATCCGGATTTCCTCCATAAAAACTTTTTAATGTTATACTTTGAGGCAACATGAAAGATTATTTTATCTAATTTTTGTCATTTAAAAAAAATTGGAATGTTTAGCTTAGACTTGATCCGTCGTGATATTTTGTCTGAGAAAATATTAATCTGCTTATCATAGTAGATCTGCATTCTTCTTAACATTGCCTTCTAGTCACATACCCACGATAAATCTTTATTACACATTGTTGTATTTAGCTTTTTTCGTCCAATTAAATAACTTCAAACCCTAAAGTGAAATTTATGTAAATATAGGGTTATGGTTAGAGTTAGGTTAATGTTAGGGTCAGGGTTAAGGTTTTTTAAAGTTAAGGTTTGCAGATTTGCGTATAAATTTGTAAAAGCTAGTCAGACTTATACTTTTACCAATGATTTTTGTGACTTTTTTAGTTCATTAAAAATAACAAGATGTGGTATGTTTGCCGATGCGACAACTCTCCACTAGAAACTAAATGACATAGAAGTTAACAACTATAGGTCACCATACGGCCTTCAACAATCCATATAAAAGCTGAAAAAAAATTTTAAACGTATTTTTACCCCAAATCTCCATAAAAAAAAAAAGAAAAAAGAAAAGGGAAAACAATTTTTGAGGTAAAAGCAGAATTTTTTTTTCTGTAATATCTTTTGACAAAACGTTGATGCTTGATAAAGTTTACGTTACTTCAAATAAATAAAATGAGATATTATAGGAAACACTAATAACATACGTCTTCTTCTTAACATCAAGCAGAGCATGATAGGTTACTTAGCGACAAAACAATACCAAGGAAATGTCAGGACAGGAATATCTTATACCAGACAATTTTTCCGACCTTATTTCTTTAAAATAGGAATACAAAAATAAGAACCACAAACTCATGCTCCTTGATTGTTGTTTGCTAAACGTCAAGCGGCAAATATATCATGCATATTCAGGACGATACTAATTAGTACTGGATTCTAGATTTATTAGCATGGACTCATCCAGACCGTTATCTTAAAACGCAGTGAAAACGCAGACTTACAAAGACATATCGATAGCGGAAGATAAGATAAGATATTTTATTGGTTTAAAATCCAAAATTATAGGATTGTTACCAAGACAATAAATATCGGCTATACATAAACATACAAGACGACGATCTGGTGATTGGTAAAATTTAACATGGGAACGAGAACAAAAACAAACAGTGGCCTTTGCAATGTTTAAAACACTTATGTCCTTAGCAACGTTAAAGAGTTAATTTATTCAGTTTGTGTGAAGGTATTTCTTACAAGCATGATAACAAAATAAAGTGTAAGGTATATTGAAAGGTTTCCCCAGTTTACCTTTAAACAAAATAAGTCAACATTAAACGCGCCCATGTTTGCATATAGCAACTTGCAGCTCTATAATAGTTAAGGTAATAAAAAGAAAAAAAAATGAGAAAATTCCAAAGGGGCAATCAATAACAGTGCCAGTCTAATATTAGCTGCCAATTGATGCTCCCTGACAAGCTCATTTATTGACAGAAAACTTTTTTTTCAAGGCTTCAAAGTACTAGTATATGCTTGAAGGGGTAAATAAAACATGTACAATTATTGCTTATTTTTCACCTGCATAAAGTCTGCACTTTGTAAAACTATAACGGTAATCTACAAAACAAGCCTCTATTGGGAGTACTTAAATATCATTTATAGATATTATTTTTGTTTACCTTTTCGATTACCTACTTGTTCCCAGATATGATATCCTTGTTTTATCTCATATACACGCAATTTGGAAATGCTTTCTTGTGACCTTGACAGCATATACAAATAACGGAATTATTCATCAAATTTGAAGCACTAGGGGCAAACAAACCACTTCTCTTTTGGGAGTATACTAAACTAGTCATATGTATTTTTTTATTTACCTTCTTGTTACCGGATATGATCTCAATGTTTCACCTATAACGACACAACGTGGAAATTTTATAAGACTAGTATGAATATAGTTAGATAGAGGCCAAAACAATTTCCCTTGAAGACTCAAAGTAGAGGGAGGATAGTAGAATTTTCAACATATAAAGCTTAAGCTCGTATGAATTGTGTGTTTGCATACAAATGTTGAAAAAGTCTTCTCACAACCCTGTGTTAAGACCTATCCATTCAAGTATAAAGGTTTTTTGGTAAATGAGTCACAGTTTTATGCATAAAGGGTATGGATAACTGCATTGTCAAATTTACACAAGTGCAACCTAAATTTGTTAAAGAGAGGCGAAAGATACCAAAGGGACAATGAAACTCATAAGTCGAAAATAAACTGACAACGTAGCCATGGCTAAAAAAGAAAAAGACAAACAGACAAACAGACAAACAATAGTACACAAAACACAACATAGAAAACTAAAGACTGAGCAACACGAACCCCATCAAAAACTGGGGGTGATCTCAGGTGCTCCGGAATGATTAGTTACATTCATAATGGGATACTTTAAAGTTATCATCCAAAACAATGATTAAGTAAGGACTATATATATGTTCCAGGGAGTATAGAATCTCCTATCTGTATAGCTTTCATTCCAATCAAGCGAGGGAACATAAATTTATCACCGGAAACAATTTTTTCATGTCTATTTTTCGTAAGGATGACATTGACCTTTGTACTATTTACCCCAAAATCGATAAGCTTAATTCTTTCCTGTCCTTGTATCTTCCATCTGTATAAGCTCCATCCCAAACAAGTACGAATATAAAAGTAATCGTCTGGAAACTATTTGTTTCGGACACACATACGGACGAAACGATTACTAAATGCTCCAGAAATTTTGTTTGGGGCATAAAACAGACCAATCACCAAATAAAAAAGCAAAAGGCCGTAACAGAATTACACAGATAAGTAAACATTGAGAAAAACCAACCAAACCAAAAACAGAGGGAAAACACAGGTGCTCTAAAGGATGAGGAGTTCTTGCTCCACTAGTTCACCCACCGTGTTATTCATTGCAAGTAAAATTTCGATGATAAGTTGCATACGGTAAAGTCACAATCGAGAAAAAACAGGACATGGTTGTAGCTATAAATGGCATATTTCCACGATCCTTTATTATGGCGCTTTAAGTGTGAAGTATAATGGATCGGGATTTATATAAACAAATATGCTTGTTTTCTTAATCCAATTGTAAATATTTTAAATGGCTCATTTCGAATTGTATATTATATACTGATGTACAAATTTATACAAGATTTTAAACATACAATTATTTTGGTTTTCATTTACACCAAGACAGAGTCTTCCTCGTACCAGGACTTACACTTATCAATATAAGAATAAGAATAAGAATATTTATTATTCCAATCAATGGCCCTTGAAGGGTCGCATGACATGTACATGTATAAACACAAAACAATACAAATGTGATTTGTAACAGAATTTTTTACATTGAAATGAAATATTAATAGCTCATATAGATATAGACATTATAGAGCTACATATATTTCTTCGTGTACAATAAATTCCAGGCAGGACCAGAACCATAAAATCATTACAATAATCATCGTCATTACGTATATGTAATTGACATTTCGTCTAATATTTAATAACATAATTCCCTAAATATTTTAGGACAGACAAATTTTCATTAGTAAATAACCAAACTTATTAATAGTACACCAGTATTGTATGATTGTAACACTCTCATAAACGTCAGGTTATCCAATTAATGTGAATTTTCCTTTTCTGAAAAACAATATTCATAAAGTCGCTGCGTCTGCTGTATAGGGGATAGGAAACTACACGAGGACGTATGTCCGAGTTTGTTATATCCTTCTTTACAGTACAGTTCTCAGATTTTGACAATTGTACCTCGTCAATATATTATATCAAGGAACATTTAATTTTTTATCAATATTATTTCTATCAGGATTTCATAATAATAATGATAATTTATTATTAAATCTCAGACACATAGGTGTACAAGAGGACATCAAAATAGTATATACACATAAACACAAGTTTATACTCAATACATATTCAAATGTCACTGTACTGTAAAATATATGTTTATAATTAGTTCGCTCCTCGAGAGCTTGTGTCCACTACAATGACGTTACTGAGATAGAAGAAAAATCCCAGTCAATACCACACAAACTACTGATTCAGGGTTATTATATTTAGCCTGAACCGATTGCTATCAATATATTTATTTCGATTCTCATAAAAAAATGGTACATCAACTTTAATTCGCCACTGATATTGACCACTTGACAGTATGTTGGATGCTGCATGTGAAACATATAATATAATACATGAATAAATATGATCACTAGGGCTACCTACCATATTCATGAGAGTTGATTTCTCTTGGACTTCAGTTATCAGTGTTGTTATATGGTACAATATTTTTTGTATTACCAATGTTTGTAACGAGAACATGACATGTTTTGAAATCGATTATCCTAAATATCTAATAAGAATTTGTAAATTAATCGGACTGCATCGATCTATTTAAATAAGGGCGGTAGCCAGCTATATATATAAGCGCTTCTGACTTAAGATAAAAGCGCGATTGTTCAAAGCTTTCTAAACTCACGAAACAATAGATGAAACATTTAAAATCATAAACATACATTTTGAAGTAAAAAGCGAATGCATCATGTAAAATATGTTATCCGTAAATTGATTAACAAAAAAAACCCCTACGAAATCGGAGCTGCTATATCAATGATGACGTGTCATGTAAGGTTACTGATTTGAATCTATGCTATATTTAATTGGCCAAATAGGATGCTTAAATTTAATGAAACTTAAACCAATGTGATAATATATTTTTAAAAGCA